TATAGCAAACGTACAAAGATAAAACAATAAATTCGTTGGATGTTTAATAAGGTAAGTGTGGTGGGTGGGGGTGAAATATTAATTAAGTAGGTTCAAGGACGGGATAACTGATCAGAGACACTTATAAAATAAGGCGAAGCAATCAGTTTTGGTTTGTTTCGAATTTCGCTATCTGCGCTAGCCGTCCCTAATTTAGCAGCGAAAGACTAGAGGGAAGGAAGTTAGTCCTCACCACCCAACACCAACTGTTCGGGCTACGCATTTGCTAACAGATAGTACGATTGACCGTCACGCAATAACGCTCCCACGGCTGAAAAAGCGAGCATGTTTGGTGGGACGGGGATTCGAACCCGCGACCCTTAGATTGCGAGTCAAGCGCTCTAACTATCTGGCCATGCCGAGCCCAAAACACTCAGACATGTTTTCATAATTTATAAACAGCAAGATGAAGTGCTTTGGAACAGCCACTACCCCCCAAAACAAACATACAAACACAAAACAACAACAACAAACAAAACAACCAACAACATTGGATTTCTTATGTCTGAAATGAGAAGACTTTTGCCTGTTTTATACAAATCTGTGTTCGAATACAAAAAAACATGGGTGTATTAATTAATTAATTCCACGTTCAAAGTAACAAGAAAGAGAATGAACTACACAAATGTTCGGTCGCTCCCCCCGCCCCCCAGTGGCATGTCTGCAGACTTACACTGCTAGAAACCGGGCAGAGCACAGATAGCCCGTTGTGTAGTTTTGTGCTTAATAACAAACAACAACAACAACAAACTACCTTTTAATAGCCCCCCAGTGGCACAGTGGTACGTCTGCGGACTTATAATGCTAAAAACTGGGTTTCGATACCCGTGGTGGTCAGAGCACAGATAGCTTTCTGCTTAACTACAAACAGCAACAGCAAGTTTCGGTTGTGTAGTCTGTCTTTCTGTTTACTTTTCGGCGTAGAATCAACACCTCTACTTGTTCGTTTTTGCAGCGTTCCCCTGGTGGGACAGCGATAAGTTTACGGATTTATAACGCTAAAATCAGGGGTACGATTCACCGCGGTGAAAACAGCAGATGGCCCAATGTGGCTTTGCTCTAAAACAAACAAATCCTTTTGTAGCCTGCACGCTGTCGCAGCTCCCCACTCTGACCTATTTGTGTATATAATGTACACGTCATTTTCCCATGTCAGTTGTTGTACTGCATTACTTAATCGTAGTAATATTCGCACGGTAGTTTTTAAAACTTCCTTATTTTAAGAAAGTGTCTTTTCATATATAATTTATATATTCCTGTATTCACAATTGCACTCCTCACCTCCCACTCACAAACAGGCGAACGTAAATGTGTGTATGGTGATAATACTTTTATTAATCTGTACGGAAACGTCACAGTAAACTGTTGTGAATGTACATATGGCAGTGATTATATTTTTATTAATCTGTACAGAAACGTCACAGTAAACTGTTGTGAATGTACATATGGCAGTGATTATATTTTTATTAATCTGTACAGAAACGTCACAGTAAACTGTTGTGAATGTACATATGGCAGTGATTATATTTTTATTAACCTGTACAGAAACGTCACAGTAAACTGTTGTGAATGTACATATGGTAGTGATTATATTTTTAGTAATCTGTACAGAAACGTCACGGTAAACTGTTGTGAATGTACATATGGCAGTGATTATATATTTATTAATCTGTACAGAAACGTCACAGTAAACTGTTGTGAATGTACATATGGCAGTGATTATATTTTACTAATTTCCATATGGAGGTTAAGAGTGACCAAGCTCTGTTATAACGGTAATAGTAACATTTTTGGTAATTTTCAAAGGGGCGCCACAATAACCTAGTGAGAATTTACGTACGGTGGTGATTATATGTTTACTAATTTCCACAGGAATATGCAAGTGTGATTATACGGCAGTGTTTATATTGGGTTTGGTGTTCGGGTTTGGTCCAGCTACAGAACCATTAGTGTGATTATACGACAGTGTTTATATTTTTTTCAAATTCCACAATGTCGTCAAAGTAACCTAGTGTTAATCGATGATAGTAGTTATATCTTTACATCGTTTGAAAGGGTGTACGTGTTTGTTTTAGTGCAAAGCTACATTGGCTTATCTGTTACGTCCACCGCGGGGAATCGAACCCCGGATGTTGTTCAAACGGACATCACATTAATCTCGTATGAATTGACGGTAGTTGTTATATTTTACTAATTAACACAGAGTCGTACAATAAAAACAAAACGTACTGTGTGGTTGATGCGTTCTGAGAATAATTTAATTAGACAAGTTTATCTCACACACACACACACACACACACACACACACTCACTCACACACTAAGAGGGTTTCTATGAAATGTACAGTACATATGTGAATGTTAAAGTAGCAGTTTTTATCTGTGATAAATTTACATTCGTTTTTTAAAGGCTACAGGAAATAAATCATGTATTTATTGAACAGCTGTTGCAGTTAACGATAGTGTATTTATTTTGTAGTTTTGTGTTTGTATGAATACCTATATGTGTATTTGTGTCGCTGTTAAGATACACTGTGTCCACCGCAGGTATCTAACCTCGATTTATAGCATTATAAGCCTTCAAGCTTACCGCTGAGCCACTAAAAATATAGCTAAAAAAGAATCCGTTTAAGATTCGCCTCTAAACAATGATCACTAACAAAATACAATGTATGTGTGTGTGTTTTCTATAGAAATGTACTGTTTCACGTCGTTAAAAGTAAACACGGAGCCTTTTTTTGCGATTTTATTAACACAGAAAAATTACGTTTATACCAGAGAATTTGAAATATCGTATAATCTATACTGTGTTCCAACTTATTTGGTTTTAAGAGTCCAGTTGTGACGTTAAGATAAAAACTGTCTTAATATTTGTCTTCTATTTTATTCCATATTTTTCCTGTCCTGAAATTTGATTGTCTTAGAACATAAGTCTTCATTAAGAGCGATCGAACAAACAAGAAGAAAACGAAAGCTTGTTTCAGCTTGTGTTAATCGTCTTGCACGTGTCAGGTGGAAAACTTTCGACCGAACTGCACATAGTAGAGGTTGCACAAACACACACGACTCGCTCGAATGGCAAAGTAATCGTTATTTGTTGTAAAAAAAAAAAAAAAAATCTACACTATGGTTCATTTACGTCAAATGTTGCAGGAAAGAAATTATGTATTAATTACGCAGCTGTTACACGAACATGTTGGTTTCCTTCCCCTCTTACCTAACATTTCACCGAGAATTTCGAAATCGTTATTTTAAAGTCTGTGGGGATTGTTTATCATAACAACAGCGCTGTAAGTGGTGTATGTGTGTATTTATCAACCTTTCCTTTGAAACTATATATCTAAATAAACTACAAACGTGGAGTTTCATACAAAAAAAAACATTTTTAACATTTCAATACTTGTTTAAAATTAAAATTATTCTGTACATAAATATTATAAAAGCATTTGTATAGATATTCATTATATTTTTGTCTTATTTATATATATAATATATATATGTATAGAGAAAAAAAATTAACATTTTAACAAAAAGTATGGATTGTTGGTTATTCGTAGAATTGTTATAAGAAGTATCCAACACAAAATAAATGCTGCAATAAAAAAGTACACAAACAAGTAAAGTGATACCAGTTGGATAGATTTCATTCAATCCCTACTTTGGTTGGCATTGTGATGGTATAGCTAAATGAAGCAGTATAAATGTGCCACCTAAAGTAGGGATTGCAAATCTTTATCAGACTTATCCAACTAGTATCACTTTACTTGTTTGTGTTGCAGCGTTTATAACTACTCTTTTACTCTTCTGTAGTAGATATAACTACTCTTTTACTCTTCTGTAGTAGATATAACTACTCTTTTACTCTTCTGTAGTAGATATAACTACTCTTTTACTCTTCTGTAGTAGTTATAACTACTCTTTTACTCTTCTGTAGTAGATATAACTACTCTTTTACGTAATCACTTTTCTTCTTCAGTGGTAGGTAATCACCATTTTGGTCTTCTGTAGTACATAATCAATTTTATTCTTTGGTGGTAGGTTATCACCATTTTGGTCTTCTGTAGTACATAATCACTTTGATTCTTCAGTGGTAGGTAATCACCATTTTGTTTTCTGTAGTACATAATCACTTTGATTCTTCAGTGGTAGGTAATCACCATTTTGGTCTTCTGTAGTACATAATCACTTTGATTCTTCAGTGGTAGGTAATCACCATTTTGATTTTCTGTAGTACGTAATCACTTTTACTCTTCGGTATTAGGTAATCACCATTTTGATCTTCTGTATTACATAATCACTTTTACTCTAAGGTAATAGGTAATCACCATTTTGATCTTCTGTATTACATAATCACTTTGATTCTTCAGTGGTAGGTAATCACCATTTTGGTCTTCTGTAGTACATAATCACTTTTATTCTTCGGTAGTAGGTAATCATTGTTTTATTATCCTTTAGTAAACACGTATTTTTTCCTCTCCTGTAGCATATAGCCACTGTAATTTTTTGTTTCATTCTCCTATAGAAGACAGTCACTTTCATTCTTCTTCAGAAAATAACCAGTATTTTTTTTTGTAACACTGTTTTGTCCTTTTATAATAGATATTTTTCAATTTTTTACATAGGAAATAATTGCCTTTGTCTAATAAACTGTGGTATTAAAAGTGTTTGGACAGCACCTTTTGATATGTGTTGGTCTCATGTTTCACCCCCTTTAACAAGTCACAAATCTTACTAACACTTCTATAAACTGTTGATACTTTTCTTGAATGAAGAATAATCTTGTGATTTTAAAGCTGTTCATTTCCAGTCTATTGAATGATTACGGATTGTCTTAACATTTGAAGCATATTTAATTTGTATATGATCAGATTAGAGTGTTATAGTGGTTAAATTTTGTATGAGAAAAACAAATTACGTGGGAGTTGGAATTAAAAAGCATATTTTAATTTATTTCTTTTGTAGCATTCATCATACAGCAGTAACAAGCCACGTTGGCCAGGCCCAACTCTATCTTCTCCGATGTTTTGTGCTTCTCTGTTTCGGCCACAAGGCTCTCTAAATCCCTACCTCGCTGCTTCATACAATAGAACTTTAGCACCATTACTACCTTATAGGGGATATTCTCATCCATCGGTGAGTGCTTTTGTTTTGTTGTGCTCTATTTTTATTTTCTGTTTATAATTTTCAGCATATTAGTGCCATCAATAGTATTTAGCAGAGGTAAACATCATATCTATCTAACCTGATCACGCTTCACCTTTTTAATGCTTGATAAACATGTGAACAAATGTAAATTTACTAAATTTTTTTAAACAGAAATATAATATTACAATTATTTTGTGTATTTTTTAGATATTCACAAGCACATTCTCTCTCTCTCTCTCTCTATTTTAGTATTTTTCTTTTAAAAACACTATTTACTAAACCAGTTCTTGATTTTGCAAACTATAGTGAACTATTCATTGTGAATGCTTCTTTTCCCTCACCAAAATGTGTAATTTCAGTAAAGAAAATAAAAGAATCCTGGAATGAACTATATTTTAAATGTATTGAAAAATCAAACAAAACTCAATCAATAGTCTTGAAAAGTGCTGATGGATTGAATTAGTAGCTGGTAAAACAATATAATTAAAATTTGATAACTTGTTTATTTATATTGTTAGCCTCCTAATTTATACTAGGTGTAATAAATACAGAATGTATTTTTAGCATAATTACAAATTATGCACCAATAATTAAAGTGAAATCATAATTTGTCTTGTGTGGAACTGTTTTAATTTAACCCTTCCTGCATTTCACACCTCTTAGTTTGGGAGTCATTGTAGCGAAACTGTGACTCAAAGATTTAAAAACTTTTAATTTTCAAGATGCTTATATTTACCTCAATAATATTCTAACCCCAAATATATTAACTGTGAGAACTGTACTGATCTACGTAGTGTAAGCCAGTACACGGAGATATAGTTTAGATGTAGACATATCCGTTTCCGTATGTACATCATTCTGATATAATCAATCAGGTGTGCATTCAAATAATGCAGAAAAAATTAAAAACAAAAGTAGGTAGCAGTTGGAGAATTGCTGCAAAAGGTTTAAACTTGGGGAAGAATAACTGTTGAAATAGCTCCTGAAAAGTGTTGGAGACGTCCTTTTTCACTAAACCTCAGGCGAAAACTGTTATACAAGTGACTCAAGAACAATAATGAAAGGGGATGGTTTAAAGCCTGAGCTATTAAACTCTCATCATTACAAACGAACTTACCTATCTCCATCCATCCATGGTTGGTCCCTGTCCAACCAAACATGCTCGCTCTTTCAGCCGTGGGGGCGTTATAATGTGACGGTCAATCCCACTATTCGTTGGTAAAAGAGTAGCCCAAGAGTTGGTGGTGGGTGGTGATGACTAGCTGCCTTCCCTCTAGTCTTATACTGCTAAATTAGGGACAGCTAGCGCAGATAGCCCTTGTGTAGCTTTGCGCGAAATCCATAACAAACAAACAAACTATGGTTGGTTGTAGCCAAGGTAGTAACTTCACAATACTAATAAAAATAATATGTTTATAAACCTTCTTATCCACCTGTGTACTTTAAATCAAATAATGCACCAAACTACCAATAAGTGACAACATGTAAATATTGCTATATTATTATTATTATAATACACTTACCCTCATGTATAATTTGACAACAATTAATATAACTTCCAAAACGAAAGTCTGTGGATGAAAACTGAGAGGCTATCACAGGTTTTTGCTGTTATATTCTTCCAGTTTTATACTTTTGCAGCTTTTCTGCAGCTGGTATAAATTTAGTTTTGGTCTGTGTAATTTGAATGCATTCATGATAAACTATATTAAATTACCTTAATTCATTACTGATTTGTGTTACTGTTATTTTATCTATTTGTAGTTGTTACTGATATGTAAATAGTTGTTTTTTTAAATATTTCTATCTATTATTATTTACAGAACAAAAGTGTCAATCAATCTTATTCAACAATCAGTTTTAGACATGAATGACACCCTTTAGATATTAAATTAGAGAATGTTAAGCTTATAGAAAAGCTTCTTAAAACATAAAAATACTGATTAAAAGGAAAAGGTGTGTGTTGTAGGGATATTTATATTAATTTTTATTTTGAATGTCCAATTTCATCCAACTTTTTGATAAATGTGTACATGATTCCTGTTATATATCACATACTTCACAGATAAGCCATTAAAGTTACAGACAAACAATTTATGAACTTTTTAAACAATGCATTGTACACTGAATAACTGCAAGGCAACATTTTAGCACATTCCTTATTTATAATGTCTTAGATGAAGAACATTTTCCTCGGCCTAATGCCCATCTCTTTTACTTTGAAGAAGAATTATCAAGCTTTAATCAACATTTTGTTCAATTCCACTACACCAATTAATGTTATAACAGTATTGTTTGCCAGTCCTGTGTTGTTCAGTTTGACAGCTTTAGATTAATTTTCATTCTATGTTTTATGATAGATCAGTTATTTTTATTTATTTTATTTTTTATCACAGATTCCAATTAGATAAACAATGAAATATTTATTTTTTTTATATTAGGAATCATTATTTCCAGATAAACTTAAGTTCTTGAATCATATTTATTATTTTGCCCATTTGTGTCCAGGTTAATTCTGCTCTCTGAAAAGTTTCACTACCAATAATCATTTCTATTAATTTTACTATCCGTTAGTATCTGTGGTATTTTTAACTTTATAAGTCTGCT